AAAGTTGTCTTTTTTTGGCCTTATTGAAGTAGATGTATTCAATATCAATACATAGTAACAATTCATTAGTTTAATATTTATCCAACAGGAGGTGTAACTCTTACTCATAATGGGCTAGTCTAAGCTTGTATATCAATAATATTTTAATGAACACAAAAATATCGATATGGGTTATAATTCAAATATTTAAAGTAATTTCACATATTTTTTTTTAAAGTATTCACCCTTGGTCTAAATGGGTTGAATTTAATCCGTGGGAGGGGAAAGAGAAGGGGGGGGGGGGGGGTAAAAAAATAAAAATATTTTTTCATTTAATAATAATTATCACCCAAAGTAAGCAGGTCTCTAGGTATTGGGTGGTCAAGAATATCAACACATAATAGACTCAAATAGTATTTCACTTCCGGTCCCTATTGTATATAGGTCTGGCATGATGGGTGGGGGGGGGGGGGTATACGTAAAAACATTAAAAATATAAATAATTACAGAGTTTTCGTTTATTTGTAATAAAAATCTTTACGGAAAATTAAAATCACGTGATCTCAGCTGATTTTCAACGTCAAATCGCATTTTAGCAAATAAATCGTCGGTACAGGTAGTCATTTAATTCTCGCCGAAATGAAGATGAATGACACGTGAATCAACCAGCATCTCCGCGATAAAAAAATAATAATTAGTTTGCTCTCTCCAGTTTTATTTAAATGGCTCTATTTTGGCATATTTTTAAGAAATGGCTAACTCGATATTTTTAGCAAGTAAAATATAGCCTAAATCACCACATTTTGCTAATAAATGTCCAAATATGTACACCATATTGATGTAAATTTTCAGGGGCTTGCGTATAATTTATTTGGATAAAATATTGGATTAACCGAGCTAATCACCTACAGCAAAATTATTTTTGCCACCTCACTGCATAATCAGAATCTATCCCCACCCCCCCTCTCTCAAAATATATCGAAGACAAAATGTAGTTCTTACACATTAGTGTTATTAGCCGGCTCGTTTTGAGCCTATTTTTAAAAACAGCTGACTCAGTATTTTAGCCAGAAAAGTATCGCATAAGCCTCGAGATTTCGATAATTTATGTCTGGACCTTTGTTCCTTCTATGAGCAACATCTTCAGGCTTGCTTAGTATTTTCCTGGATAAAAATATTGAGTCAGGACTCAAAACGAGCCGTTTAATAACACCACTAGATATATGATGTGTTTTTTTTTTAATTAGAAAAATAATATTTATCAATATATTTAGGTGTCTTTCTCTCTGCTCGATTAAATTTAGAGTTTCAAAAGGTATTTCGTATAGGGTTCGCGTTAAGTTACTTATACTCGTTTTTGATTTGTATTAGATTATTAAAGTTGTGTGTAATTTCTTTTGATAAATAGTATATTTTATCATGTCCTAAGTGCAAATCCACTTTCCGTAAAATCAAACATTTTAATCTACCAACACTTTATACGGTTTCAGGCCTAGGGCGGATAAGCTCATGTGTTGTTATGAAAAAACATATGATTAATATATATATTATATATTAATTATTAATATATTTTTTTTAAACTTTGATCTGTATTGTAATGGTGCTAGAAGGAGTATGAACTATTTTATTTAAAAACTACGAGCCTAATTTTTTTTTTTTACGCCCAACGTGATCCGAGAAAAAATTTTTTTTTAAAATATTTATATCCAATCCGAGAAAATTATTTTAACTGGCCAATACTAGAATAATTTCCCCAAATATCCTAAAATCTTATATAAGGCTTTTATTGGATTGCTATAAACTAGTGTTGTTGTTAAACCGCTCGATTCGGGCCAGTTTTTAAAAACGGCTAACTCGATATTTTATCCAGAATAATGTTAGTAGGCAAGCCTGACGATTTTGCTCATAAATGGCGCAAAGGTATAGACATCAATTAACGGAAACTCGAAGCCTTAGGCAATATTTTTCCGGCTAAAATATTGAGTTAGCCGTTTTTAAAAATAAACTCAAAACGAGCCGTTCAACAACGCTTTTATAAACGCACGACATTTTAACTATAAGTGCTTAAAGATGATAAATAAGCGTGGGATTATTCGTGAACATAATTTTTAAGAAAATAATTAAGAAGAAAATAATTTCAAAATTTTTTACGATGTTGATATCCAACCCGGTTCAAAATAAATTTTAAAAATCAAGGTCTGAACTTCCCGAGTTCAATTAAATTAAGTTCCGAAGCTGAGTTTAACCGGCTTTCTGAATCATCCTTAATACTTCTTCATTTTTGACTTACCTGATTCAAGGGAAAGTGGCATGACAGAATCACCTTGACCCTGTCAATAATGAACCAATGTAGCTAAGGTCTATTTTTGCATGGATCCATTGGCCCTACCAACGAAACAATTAACTTGAAAAAAAAACTCAATTGATATTCGAAAACTTAAAAGATTGTTTTTCTTCCTTTGGCAAACTTGCTGTATCCTTCTTAGTTGGTATCTCACAAAAGACTTCTTTCTAAGAGGCCGACCACAGCTCAGCATGGAAAACTACATTATTTCAACTACTCACTACATGTCACTCAGGGTCGTAGACAGAATTCATTTTTGGGGCAGGGCAACTGCTTACTTAGGGGGACCAATATTTATTTTGAATTTAAACATATAGTTAGGTACTTATATATATTTTGTGCTATTTTTATTAAAAATTTATATATAAATATGAATGTGCAAAATAATATTATGATACGAATATATACAAAATAATACTATAATATGACGATTTTTATTTAAATTTCATATGTGAATTAAATGCTAAATTTTGTTTTTTTTTTCTTAAGGCATTAAAATACTAAATTTGTTAACGTTGATCTCTCATCAATTCTCTAGTTCTCAGAACTCTTCGATTCCCTAGTTCTCAGAACTCTTTTTACTGTAGAGAACGAAGCCTCACAACAAGCCGTTTATATAAGATGATGATTATTAAGTAGCACTTTTAAATGCAAAATGATAATTTTTTTAAACAAAATATTTACAATATTTTTTAAATTATGTGTCCTTTCAGGTTTGTCATAGCCTTTACGATCTAGGGCTCAACCCGCTTTTGTACAGTCTTCGGCCTGGTTTTATATTAATATATTATACTTTTTTAATTAAATTTGCAAAATATTCTGAATGTCATTCATTATGCATACAAATAATAAATGTAAAACAATACGAGACATTTCTAAATATAATATTTTTTAATACAAAATATTTATCCAATTGTTACAATTTTAAATATTTTCGATTGCGAAAAAAATTTTTGTCTAAAGAATTACAAGTAAAAAAGGTTACCCTCAATTGATAATGGTTTTTAATAACCATACAGGCAATATAATACTTAGGCCTTTACAAACTCAGGGGACTCAACCAAAGACGCCCCCATACCCTTTAATATTTTTTTTAAATTTGCTAACTCTGAACAATTATTTTGAATTTCTCATTTATTATATTATACATACAAAATAAACTAGCGTATAAATACAAGACATTTCTAAAAATAATATTTTTTAATACAAAATCTATTTATTACAGTATAAAATATTTTCGATTGCTCAAATATAAAAATTTTGCATCTTAAGAATTACAAGTGGTAAAAAGAGTTAATTAATGCATACATATCCCTCAATTAATAATGATTTTTAAAAACCACATAAGGTAATGTAATTCTTAGCAACTTACATTAACAAAAGTGCTTGAAACTAATATAACTCCCTGTTACCACTTTAGACAAAGTTTTATAGAATGGACTAATAAGGAAAAATTTATAAGTCTAGCCCAAATCAACAATTCTTGAAGAAGAGAATATAAACGCCCAATCCAAATCATAAAGCTATGTTAGAACTTCCTCTTAGATGACATGATAGAAGCTAGATAAGTAATCGAAAAAATTAGTAAGATATTAAATTTTTAAAAGATTATCTTCCATTTTTAATTATATAAAAACGACAACACAGTTTACTATTATTGTTTAATTAGGGTTACATAATAATTTAATAAAAGCCAATTAAGCTTTAACTGTTATTGCTAAATTAATATTTAGTGAGTGATATTGATATTTTATTTTTAACATAGAATTTGATTGCAAGCTAACATAGTGAAAATATAATTTATATGTATCAATCTAATCTAATAATTAAAATAGTATTCATTTAATAAAAATTTAGATAGTCATTAATTTTTATTAAAATTAAATCTATATATTACTTAATAGAATTATAAAAGAAATCGTTCAGGGGGCAATCAAAAAAATTTATTCTTAATTAAAGGGGATATTATGGAGCCATTAAAAAAAATTTTGCTTCACGGGGCTACTCAAATTTTTTAAGGGGCTCGAGCCCCTGAGCCCCCCTAGTGACGCCACTGAAATAAATCTCAAAAAAGACCTAAAGATTTTGCTCGTAGCTGGCAAAAATGCTTAGATATCTATCTGCAAAATCTCGATGTTTACTTAATATTATTATAGCTAAAATCTTAAATAGGCAGTTTTTAAAAATCCACCCAAATCTAGCTTTTTAACAACATTGCAACCCGGTCCTAAATATTTTATCATTTGCAGACCTCTAAGTTGTATGGAATCGTTCGGTAAAGCAAATCATTTTAATTACGGCCGCAGGAACTTCGAAACACCTTATAAAATTTTCTATCATTCGTCATTTCTACACTAGGTATTTTAGTAAATGAATCATCATTTTACCTGATGAATTTATGGGAACTCTCTACCATCTTCTATCCCAGATGGAGATAATCTTAAGCAGAAATCTGCAGACTATATTTTTTATCTACCCATATACATCTATTCAATTTATAATAATAGTTAATTTTTTTAATTTACCAATTATATATTTTTTATCTATGATTTTAATAAGTTCACCTAGTAATTTAATGTATATTACTATGTCACTGATATCTAAAATTTCGCATATAGTTTATATACAATACAATGACATATGACTTTCGACCAAAATATATCTGACCATATATCACTCCCGATCCATCAGGTTCCTACAAAAAGCGTAACAACTTATGAAGTGAGTATTATTTTGATCGTCACTGTACATATTATATAACCATCTTCTTATACTAACTCATTGGATGACTAGATAAATTTAATTATGTTTAACCCAGGTACTATTGCTTAATATTAATATTTTTTTTAACTGATTGATTGAAAAATAGATATATTTATTTTTGTATATTTAAAAAAATGCAATATTATGATATATAGAATGAATTTTAAGTAAATATTAGCCTATCCTACTCCTACAGCTTAGAAAAATTTTAAATATGCCTGATTGCTTATTTTTTTTAAAATCATAATTTTTTTACTTACCCAATCAGTCACTAAATCTCAATTGCAGATCTCTACTGTATTACCTGTCCCTGCTACCCTATAATCTTATTGTGTAAACATGATACTCAATACATAAGAATATTCTATAACTTAAAATGAGATGATTTTTAAAATTACATTCTTTTGAATATAAAGTTGTAGGTAGTGTTGTTTAATGGATTGATTTTTAAATAGGCTAGTCCAATATGTTAGCCAATAAATATTATTCAAGGCCCAGGCTTTTTTACTCATAGATTGTAGGAAGGTTTGTTTGGACATCTAATGGAATCTTTTGGGTAAATGGGTTAGCCATTTTTTAAAATTGAGCCATCTAACAGTACTAGTTGTAAGAAAGAAGGAATGTCTTTTTTTTTGGTTCATAACAAACATGAAAAACTGGTTTTAAAATTTTTCTTGTTGGGCCAGACAAATAAGGGCTGAACCCAATTTTTATAATTACTGGTGGATCAGACTGGACTAATCTCTGGTAAATATATTAATAATTTAAAACATTGTTTAGTATAAAATCTTACTTAATTTCTATGCTATTTTTACTAAATGCTTAGATATAGAAGACAACTTTTCCCACAAAATATGAAAAATTCTTTGTCAAAACCTAAAAATACTTCACCACCAGATGGCCTTATTACGGGTTCCACTTTAACATGCCACCACCATGAAGACAAACCAGGCTTAAATATCACTAATTCCACCCATATAAATCCCACTTCATGGCATCTCGATCCAAATCATGCACACAGCAAAGAAAGTTGCAATAACCCCGACTTGGACTCAACTGATTTTGATAAAATGTCCTCCACCTTTTCCTGCCCCTTTAGTCACACCAATCCAACCAGCTCTTCCAAAAACAAATTTCCATTTATCAAACGCAATAAATTCTCCAGGAACAATGAATGCATGACAGCCCATGACTGGGAGGCCTACCACATTGCCCCTCCTAGTGCACCCACCGATGATGGGACAGAGTCTTTTTTCTGGCGGGCACACTCTCTCACAGCTCTTTTCTGCCTTTCAGCCTGCCTACTTTACTTTACCGTTAGCTTAGTTCCCCACCATGACAGCTCCCAGAATGCCTTGCGTGGGTTTGCTGCTTGTTTGGCTACATTTTTTTTCTTCGGCGTTACCCAGACCCCTGATGGCCCGTTCAAGAGACCCCACCCCATTGTATGGAGATTCGTATTTTGCGCCAGCTTAGTCTACGAGCTTACTCTTATTTTCTTGTTGTTTCAAGCCCCAGCTGATGCAAGGTCCATGCTGAAGTATATTGATCCTGGACTGGGTGTGCCCCTACCGGAAAAATCTTACGGAGGCGATTGCAAAATTTACGATCCTATAGGTTATATAGATTATAATAAAAAATTGGCTTAATCTATTTTCCTCGGTGATTATTAAAGAAAAATATGACATAATAAAAAACAGATATATAAGTTAGATTTTTATAAGAGTAATTGTAAAAATATATTATATTATCAGCATTTTTCTAAAACGTTTTGAACGCGTTATTTTTGCCCTTTATATTATGATCGTTCCTTTATCTCAGAGTTGTTTAAGTATCGTGATACTATATCTGTCACGTTTTCCCGATATCGACGATACTTTTGATTAAGGCTATGTCCTAAATATAAAAACAAACATAACCTATTTTTAATGTAAAAATAAAATAGTGTTTTAAATCATTTTTCGTCATTTACAAATTGGTGGCATTTTATTTTTCTTATGTTTTTTTCATATTTTATTGTCTTTCTTTCTTGTTTTTCTTTATTTTTATCAAAACTTCTTTTTTTTTAAAAAAAATAAATTTTCGGACATGTTTTTTAATTTTAATTAATTTACGAAAATTTATAAATTTTTAGATTTTTTTTCCAATATATTTAGGACACCGTCTAAACTAAAATAAAAATTATTTTTAAAAAATATATTTTTTTTAATGGAATCTAACTTTCTTTTACGAAAGAAATAAAACGTGACGAGCAAATGAATCACGTGTTTCATTGCCATTTTTTTATTACGGGTAATGATCAAATAATCTATTAAGCATAAATAAAATAATGGGAAACTCTGTGAAAGACAATGACATATATAATACCTAGACTGACGATTCATTCATTAAAAGTGTACATCAAATGCTTATCAGCTGGGGACGCCATCTTGGTTACAGTAATCATTAAAATTTTAATCGAGGGCCTGTTTAATATCTGATACAAACTTCTAAAAATTATCGGATCTTCGAGAAAATAATTATCACAAAGGTTACCAAAATGGCTGGTCCAGCTGATTTACTTTTAACGACGCTTAAAAATGCATTTTAATGAATGAATGGTCAGTCTAGGTATTATATATGTCATTGGTTAAAGACCGATATCTTGAATATATATTTTTTTTTTGTTTTTGATGTGGACCTGTATAAAATTTCGATAGGAATTTTCGATTTGTACAAATTCTTTGAGGTGCATATTATTTAAAATAAAATTTCCCATAAACTTGATTAAATTTAACTATAAATGTATATAATACATATTATTTTTTTTGTGATGTTTAATTTCACCGATCCAATATTTACGTCCATTTTTTTATAAGGGCTGTATCTCGATATTTAAATATAGGATCGGCAGCGATACCTTAGCGTTTTTTAAAAAATATCGGATTATTCGATTACGACATCTGCAGAGATATCATTTGTAGGGCCCGTCCCGGGTTTTATATTTTCCGGCCCGGGTTTTATATTTTCCGGCCCGGTGGATTTTTCTATAATTATATTACATTTATTTTTGATTTTTTTTATAGCTAAATAATAGCGATTTCAAATATTTGGTTTTAAAATTTTCGTCGGGTCTCTTCAGGTCTCTGATATATAAATATATTATTAATAATTTTATTAATAATAAATTAATGAAAGGAACTGAATTTTACGCTTTATTTGTTGTAATACTAAAAAAAAAAATTTTTGTTATATTAATATCTGCAAAAAAAGGGAAGGAAAGAAGAGAAAAGGATTATATCTAAGCGAGTCACGGTTCGGTTAGTGCCGCTACGCTGCTCGATTTAGCCAAGTTTTTTTAAAAAAACGGTCAACTCTTGATTTTGCCCAGGAACCAATTGCCCGTGCTAATTAATTCCCCCCCCCCTCCACAGATATCGAAAATGGTTTGTACCTCTTCTGGCTAAAAATATTTAGATCCTGACCCCCCTTTATATAAAAATTGGCTAAATTAGATGTTAGACGACACCGCTTTTACACCCATATAGACATTGGCGATTATTTTATATTAGGAGAATATTAAACATAATATGAAAAAAATAAAAATACACTTAGATCATTCGCGTAAAGAAGATATATATATTTATGACATTAGTACAAAGATAGATGGTAAATATAAAATAAATAAAAAAACTCGATATATGTATCGGATCTATATCGGAACGTTTTTTTTATTAGTATCGGAAAGTATCGGATCGGATCGGCGAAAGATTTGTGGGAATCGGCACACCCCTTATCATTTTATATAAATTATAAATGTTTAAATTAATAAATATTTCTTAAAATTTTAAGAATATTTATTTCATTTTAAAGACTCCTAAAAATCAAAAAAATAAAAAAAATGTTCTTATTTATTTAAATTTTTTTTTTAGAAGTTTTTTTGTATTTATAATATTTATACAGATAGATTATAACCCCCTAAGGAATAATTTTTTTATTTTTTTTCTTCACTTATTCATTTATACCTTAATAAGCCTAAGTTTATAAATTTATATGACGCTATATATGCCAGCACACTATATATATATATATATATATATAATTAAATTTTTCCGTATAACAAGCTATTATAATCTTTGTATGAGAGATGGATATATCTTTGTGAGCGAATTAATCCAGTTTTAGATTCTCGTGATTCTTATATTTAACTACGAGTTTCTTTCTGAATAAAAAGTACGGAGTTAACTAGGACACGCACTCTTGCCGATCCACAAGTTTTTTTTCACCGATCCTATCCGATACATATCCGATATTTATATCGAATTTTTATTTACCATCTATCTTCGAAACTAGTGTCACGAAAAAAAAAGTATCAATCCATTTTTTTTAAATTCCCCTTAATAGTTTCAAAAGTCTCATTTAAATTGCAATGTTTATAAGAGATGTGTAGTGTCGTTAAACAGCTCCAATTGGCCGATTTTTTTTTATCCAGAATATTATTAACTGAAACGTCAGGAATTTGGCCAATGAGGAGTCCGAAACTTTCTGCCATATGTAGGCAAAATAAATAAGCTTGCTACTAGCTTGAACGTGGTGACTCCTCAGGTATTATTTTAAAATCCATTTCTTCCGGTTTGCAAGATAATACAACAAAAATTTGTGTAAAAATTTGTTAACAATTTTTTTTTTATTTAAATTTTTATTATTCACGAAATTATTTATAAAATAAAATAAGAATTATTGTAATTATATTTTTAAAAAGAAAATAATAAAATAAACCATAAAACAATTTTTTTTAAAAAAAGAATGTCGGCTTGATCCGATAGGTTTTTGAAAAGGCCTAATATCGATACCTATCGGATCCGATATTCTATCGGTACATATCCGATCCGATATTCTTTGAAAACGCCGAATATCGGCACTGCCTTAGAATAAACAATAGGCGACAAAAAGATGCACTCGGTTTTGCCTAAATTCCGATATCGGAACCGATCATACATCCTAGTGTTGGATTTGAGAGAATAGGAATTCTGGTTTGCATCGGCATTCGCGCCGATCTGGAATCGTATCGTGATCTTCTAATAATTATGTCACGAAGATCGAGTCCATTTTCTATATTATTGAATCCCCTTTTATATGCCTCCCCCCCCCCAAATAAATATTTTATTTTTATAGGTAACCCTGCTGATCCATTTTACAATCTTAAGGACAAGTTGGACGAATTCGTACCCACCCATTTCATAGGCTGGTGGTTCAAGACCCTGATTATCAGGGATTGGTGGCTTTGCACCGTCATGAGCGTTATGTTCGAGTTGTTGGAGTACTCCCTGGCCCATCAATTACCCAATTTTCACGAATGCTGGTAAGCTTTTACAGATGTCTCTTTTAATTTATTATCTTATTCGGTCACCCCCCCCCTTCCCCCCCCCCCAAAAAAAAGACCGCCCGCTAATTCAGGGTTAAGAAAATAACCCAGTTTCCTTGAGCGACATATTCGAGTGGCGTCTTTTTTTTTTCAAAATTCGCGAGTGGAACTTTCGGGAATCAAGACCTCCCCTCGAAATTTTGTCGAAACCGGAACCGTAACCCCACATTCACGGGTAGTGCGAATCGCAGCGAATTCGCATATCCTCCGGCGCGAATTACCTCTAATTATGAATGCCTCATATTTTAGCCAGTAAAAAAAATATTATGTAAGCCTGTATAAAGGTTCGGACATCTAATTAGCGAAATCTTAGAGGCCTTCGTAGTTTATTTTTGACTGAAAATTTATTTTATTTTAAAATTGTGAATCGATTCTTTTTTTTAATGATCATAATCCGATACTATATTTGTATCGGCAGAGATTCCCTTTTGCCATCATTGATATCCTTCCTAATCCTTTGGACCTTATAACACTTATCCTCTAAATTTAATACTACTCACTCTTATATTGTATATCTTTTTTTGGGGCTTTATGATATATCGGAATCAATTATTACGCCTTTTAATTTAAAGCCTTCCGCCCGCCGCTTTCCGCCTTTTGAATATAGCTACCCTTTTCTAACGATACAATATTTACAATCGTGAGAATATTAGGAGATCAATTACATTAATTATTCGTTATTTTTTTTAAACTCAAATTATATGCATAATTAACTACCTCATCTTTTTTTTCCCCTGTCAGAATATGGATGTGCTAGAATATATAATATGTCGATACTTTAAAAAAAAAAAACTTTCTCGCTTTCCATATATTTTTTTTTTGAAAATAAGGTGGGATCATTGGATCCTGGATGTGCTGATATGCAACGGAGCTGGCATATACATGGGCATGCAGACCCTCAGATACCTTTCGATGAAACCGTATCACTGGAGAGGTATGTGGAGTATCCCCACGTACGGAGGTAAACTTAAGCGGGCGGCGGCCCAGTTTAGCCCTTATAGTTGGATCCGGTTCGACTGGAGACCGACCGCCAATCTCACCAGATGGATAGCTACTCTCGCCATAATCTGCATATTCCAGATGGCCGAGCTGAACACCTTTTACCTCAAATACGTGCTTTGGCTCAAGCCAACTCATTACCTCAACCCTGCTAGGCTCATGTTCTTCTTATTGGCTGGAGCTGTGGGTAAAAAATTATTTTAATTCGTTACTTTAATGCAATAATTGAAAAGTTATACGGGATATGACCTCCAAAAGCTCAAAAATATGGTGCATGGTATCGGTCAGCTGACGATCTATCGAAATTCTTATCGGGCGTTAATGGTAGCCATTTTGATTAGAAATGTATCGCAGCTATAAAGTTGAATGCAATAACCTGACATTTTAATATCATTCGCATTAGTTTTAAATTATCTGCTTAATAAAATACCTATTTTTAAAAAAAAAAATTTAACATCATTTGCCAAACTAGATTAAACCTTAAAATATGATTCGTTCTTACTTAAATAAGGCAAACCAATCAAAACACTGCACATAAATTTTTTTTAAAACAATTTTTCAACCCCATCTACAACAACCATGAAACCATTAGGTTTACGCCTAAAGATTACGTCAAATTTCATGGCTACATCACTTCGTAAAATGGGGGATCATTTCGCTTATTTTGAGCACAGACCTAAGTAATTATTTCTACCCTCGCTGAAAAAACATTTCGATTATTTTGAACCAGACCTAAAGTAATAATGCTACCCACGCTGAAAAGCTTTGGCTACGCCATTTCGTAAAATGGTGGCCATTTCGCCCATTTTGAGCCAGACCTGGGTGATATTTCTACCCATGCTGAAGATCATGTAACAAATTGTAATCGTAAAGAAATTGGTAATCAGGAAAGTGACGGGTCAACTTCCTGTTAAAAATTAATGTTATAATTTCAAGTTCCGTAAAAATATGGTTGGGAAATAATGACGATTTTAGATTAGAAAGTCAGATGGTTAATAAGTTTATTGGACATGTCACATCACTGTCATAATTTTTGTTAATAGTTATTTCTCGAATTTTCGAGATAGACGGGAAAATTGAACAAATCGAAGAAATTTTAATTCGTTCCGATTTGAAAAATAATGCTTCAAGTCGTGATTAATTCGTGTCGAAAAAATTTGTATTGATGGCCAAAGAAAAGAGATGCCTGGTAGATCCTGTCAATAGTCATATGCTCGTCTCCGAGAGTTTACGCCTCACATGTCATATAAACTTACTCTAAGCGAAACCGCGAATGGTGCATTAAATCAGTTATGATTTATTTTCTTTTTTTTGAGGAGCTAACTGGTGATTGCAGGGTTAACTCGTTTCTTTTTGAAAATAATGGAGAATATAATTTACGAAATTTTGATAAAAGTCCAAATGAAAGAGAATTCCCGTTGTCACAGCTGATTTATTATTTTCTATCAGTTCAGTTTACACTCTACAATGATACCACCTGTTAGATTTGACACGCCATCACTAAAAAAATGTTATTAAAAACCATTTTTTGAGTTGAGCCATTTGATTTATAAAATGGTTTGTTATAGAAATATTTAGCCTTAGAGCAGAAATATGAACGTCTTAATTGACATTAGAAAAAAAAATTGTATATAAGATATAGACATTAAGGATGTACTGGCCCGGAAATTCGTTTTAAGATAATTAAACGGTCTAGCTGGGCCTAATTTTTCCCATAATTTTAACGGGCCGGACCGGGAAATTAGTAAAATTATTGGGCCTGTTCAGGCCAGGCAAACATTTGATAACGGGGTAGATCTGGGAACCCTGATGGACTTAGCCAGCCTTTGCATATATCTGTTACATACAAATCGAATATATTTGACAACTCTGAAATTTGTTTAATCTAATCTGCGCATGGGCGTGGATATAGGATTCCAAGGATCGAGTTAATTTTGATTTTAATGAAATTAATATCTTTTTTACCTTTTTGAAATATACAATTTATTCAAGCCACTCGCGAAGCCTTTCAATACCTAGACGACCCGAAGTGCAAAAAAATGGGTGCGCAGGCCTGGCTCGTTGGCGCCATCATATTCACGGAATTCCTCGTGGTATATAAATTTGATCCCAATTTAGTGACCAAACCCTTGCCCGATCAAATAATGATGGTTTGGTTGGTTTCTCTCGCGTGCCTATCACTTTACACCCTCTGTAAATTTGTGTTCGTGATTCCCCCGTCTCTCGATTGCAGTCAATTTATCGCCAGACATTGGCGGACAATTGGTAATAAAGGGGGTGAAACGTATACCGAGATTAAGGAGTCTAACGAAAGCGACATTGATTCGGACACAGTAGATACAGCTGTTAAACAAGATTTACCGGATGTCAGAGGTGTTCTAACGCGGGGAATGGAGAGTAGGCGCAGGGTTCCGAATGGCGAAATTCGCGGCGTATCTTGATGTTTTTTTTAAAATATATTTTTTGTATGAATATGATTAATGGGAGAGAGTTCCGGCGCGAAGACTAATAAACAGAACGAAAAAATAATGAAATCGCTTTTGTCTAATTTTTATTATAACCATTGTTTGCAATACCCTTAAACAGGCCCCTGGTACTAAATTCGGATTCGGAAATTTAAAATAATTTGTTGGATATTTTTGAGAACATGGACCAATGAGAGACCGATTTATGGGCAAGCCAATCAAACCCTAGGAAATTTTTAGATCGGAATAATCATCAGAATCCCTTTCAGAAATTGGTGTTCGATTAAGTTTGCGTTATCAAAATTTCCGTAAATAGAGCTTTAAAATTTTCTGAATCTTAATTTGGTTTCATCATATGCCTACTTTTAAATGAATTATGCATTGCAATACCATGTCTCCTAATTTACCAGTGTACCATTTTTTTTAGAAGCATTTGTTTTATGAAACTATCAATTTTCAAGATTTTATTTCAATTTAATATCTTCTTTTTTTTAAAAAAAAACTTTACTATGTTATTAGCCCAAGTTTGTTTGAAATAAATTTTTTAAGTTTACTTTATAATTAATATACAATATCGCTAATGTAATGCCAGCATAACATGTGTAGTACGTTTTACATTTTATTTTGCTCAAATAGAATGAATTTTAATTTATGTTTCCCCCATCCCTACCTCCCCCCCCCCCACAATAAATAGAATTTAAATACTTGAAATTTGATTCAGGATCTTAGAATCTTCAGACTATTAAATAAAGATTCTCTATATAATATGATAAGAGTTCGGAACCCAGAATAGTGGCAAATCTTGCCACCGAAATGATCTTATAACATTTCTTGGAAACTCAAATATGAATCAATATGCTTGGCCGATTTTAACAAAATTGTAACTAATTTTTATGTATAAATTGTGGTTCAAAATTTTGTGTTTTCCATTTTTGAAGGGTTTATTTCAGAATCAGGAATTCTTTCATAAAATTTATAAGTGAACTTACTAATCATAAAATTTCCAGGAACCCATTCTAATAAAAGTGCAAGAATTTTATATTTTTTCAACTTTAAATCATTTTTTGAGCGCGTTTTTAATAATTTCAAAATCTGATTTTACCGGGAATGTATGCCGTCATGTTTGGACACCACCCTATGGATTTCAGTTAATTTTTCCTTGAACTTCTAATACTTAATATAATTTATATTAAATTTTCCATATATTTTTATATATAAATTACTCAAAGGTTAACAGCAAAATTGTCTACAATTCGTAAGATAGTTATTCCAAACATGACGGAATATATTTCCGGTAAGATCAGATTTTTAAATTTAAAAAAAAAACGCACTCAAAAAATGATTTAAAGTTTGACGCTAACATATATAGTTTTTAAGAAAGTTGTCAATCATTTTAAACAGAGTTCTAAATGATGGTAAAAATTTTAAAAAAATTCTTTTTAAATGATCATATTTTGAAGAATATTCAAATAGGTTTTCAAATTTTAACTAAAATTCAAAATAATTTTTTTAGTAAATCTTCAATAATTTTTATGGATAAACAAATCTTCCATGATGACGTCACAAATCATTTGATCTTCGGATAAAAAAAATCTTCAATTTTGGGATCATCCTGGTTAAACAAACTTATATCTAGAACCCTAAAATAGCCTTTTTTGGAAAAACTGCAAACAGACTCCATTTCTAAATTTTAGAAATCGAAACTCGTACCATTTTTTTTAAAAAAAAATATTCAGATTTGGTCCATGTTGGGAACTAATGTTGGGTGATTAAAAAAAAATAGCTAAAACAGGGTTTAATTAACAAATGTTACCTAACTTTCGCGATTTGACTCAAAACATGTTTAAAAAAAGCAAGGTTTATACTATCTCATTCCCATCTAATTGGGTTAACAAATGGGAAGGGAGGAGGCTTAACCTAAAAAAATGAGCTCATTCACCAATTATTGGGCAGGTTGCAGATATATGTACAGGCAAAGTCTGAAAAGGTTAGCAGGGATCAAGGCAGAAAATAAAAGTTTTACACGTATATTACGTGAATTTTTTGATATTTAAATTAAAAAAAATATAATGATCACATATTCAAAAATAGTTTGCTATATATATTGACAATGTAATTTATCATAAATTGATCTTTTTTTAAAAAGTTAAAAATAAAAAATTGAACATTAGTTTGTTAAGTAAATTGATTTATAAAATATAAAATTTAATATTAGTTTATAAACAAATTGATTTAAAATAAAAAAAGTTGTTTTTAACAAAAAGAAAGAAACAATTTTTATTACATTTGAAATATTTAAGTTACGCCATAAATGACTTAAGGATAAAAAAAAATAATCGCTTAGGCCGCATTCATAGTGGATCCGATCCGACACGATTTAACAGCTTATCGATTTTTAAAATCGGTTTATGAGAATCAATTTTTCTTTATTAAAACCAATATTTCTTAGGCTATTATCATGTAAAAGACAAAATTAATATTATTACAAAAAAATTGATCTCATAAACAGATTTTAAAAATCGATCAGCTGTTAAATAGTGTCGGATCGGATTCACTATGAATGCGGCCTTAACCTATGGAAAATAAATAGTGTTAAACAGCCCGATTAGGGTTGATTTTAAAAACGGCCCTATAGATTTTTAGCCAAAATAATATTATGTAATCCTCGAGATTTCGCTCATAGATGGCAGAAAGGTTTGGATCTTATATTATTTAGGCTAAAATTTTAATCTGGCCGTTTTTAAAAAATTGGGTCGTTAAACAACACTAGAAATAAGAAAATAGAGAAAGGCCCGACCCCGATATAAGTGTAAGTTTTGATAAATCCACTATTAATTTTGTACTCTTATTTAGCATCTTGATTGTGAATAAATCAAGTAGTAGAATAAAATAAGTAAATAATATCAATAAGAAGATGATCACTAATCAATTAATTAAAAGAAAACTTATATTCACTATTTGAAGATAATCAATAATTACAAATTAAATATCCATTAGCACCATAAAAATATACCAAAAATCCGATATGTGATATAAACATATCGCCCATGTATAATCGTTTAATTGTATATTTATATTTGACAATCTATTAATGTAATCAATTATTTGTTATTTTACTTATTAATTGAATCATCTTTTGGTTGATTTATTTTCTATCAATATAATATCATTCATAATATTCTTTTACTTAAACTTTTTATTGGGGACATGCTAAAGAAACTAGAATTAAATTATGTCTAAATGAGACATTAAGATAGCTCTAAAGAAGAGCAAAAAACACAGACAGTCAAAGTTTGATCAAAGACGATGGATTACCAATAAAAAAAATTTACATGCCGAATTCTGTATATTGAAGGTTAATATTAAGGACTAGGTTTATAATTTGTAACACATTTTTTAAAGAAATTTCTTTGACTCTAAATTATTATTGTTTTTCCAGAAAAACAGTAGCTTAAATACTTTTCCCCATAATGAAATGTTCAAAATTAGGCAACGCATCTCGATTTTGTGTGTGATCCTTGAGTAAGATTTTCGTATCGTTCCAATTTAATTATATGTACCGTCAATAAAAAGGTATTATATCACCATGACCCAGATGTTCGATAATGTTTAGCACTAGCCATTAAAACTTTAGTACAACCATCCATAACAAAGGCCAAGAACAAAACTGATGAAATACGCTAACAATAGTAAAGTATTAGTATTTTTATCATTATTTACATTCTTTTTTAGATACATATGATGCTTTTAAATGACTATACACCACAAAAATATGAAAGCTTGAAAGAATTAAATTTTAAACCTTCAGACTTTGTTTCCAATGACGTATTTAGTGCTCAACCATTTTCTTTACTAAGGACAAAATTTAATTATCAATCGACCATAGAAAATGATAATTATACAAATACGATTACTGTAATTAATAATGACAGTCATGCAAAATCTTTATGTAAAAGGCCACAATTTCCAAATATTCCACAAAGTATATTGGATAACCTAAGTGCACGTTTTTTAATCAATATTCCTCAAAATCAACGTTCAAATTCTATTCATGTTTTATTTATGTGCCAAGAAGCATATTGGTTTTATTTGGACTATTGTCTACGAGATTATGATAATAAAATGCTTCTGTTGGACAACTCTCATAATTCAGATAATATTAACTCCAATAATTTAATAACATACAAAGATGATATAGAAGATCTTTATAGCTCATTACCAAGATGTGGGTTTAGTCACTTCGCATATTTAATATTAAGAGCTAGTGGAGTTTTATCCTTTATTATTCCAGAAATTTTAAATGATGAATTTTTAAGCTCAAATGATGAATATGCATTTGGATTACTGTTAACACTTATTGAGGAATGGAAAAGATATAGAAGCCTGATACCTGTATGTGGTGCTCTTATATTGGACGAATCACTAAGTCATGTGTTATTAGTACGAGGTTATGGCGCTAAAAATAATAAAGGTTTTTGGAGTTTTCCAAGAGGAAAGATAAATGAAGCTGAAAATGAATGTGAATGTGCCATTAGGGAAGTTTTAGAAGAAACCGGATTAGATATAACTCAATTTATAAATAACAAATCATATATTACTTTACAACAATTTAATCAAGATACCAGCAATGCTGATCTCACCAGTAATCTTAAAAAGATTGTCAAATTGTTTATAATATCTGGTGTTTCAAAGCAAGTTCTACTTAAACCTCAAGCTCGATATGAAATACAAGAAATAAAATGGTTTCCACTCAAGGAATTATATTCATTGATCAAGGAAAAAGATTCTCTGATTAACTCCGAAAATTATTTTAGTCATAGTTATTTAAATTTTAATAAATATGATATAGTTATTAAAGATCCAGAGGATCAAAAATTCTATCTAGTCGATTATTTTTTAAAACAGCTAGCTAAAATTATGATCAAACATTGCAAAATGAATAATAAATATAAGAAGCAATACAAGGCTACTAAAATGGTCAGCGATAATATCCTCTCGAAAATATTCATTGATAAAAATATCATGCAATCTGCTTTTGTACCCCAGGGGTTTGATATCCACCAAAACTATGCAGAAAGTTCTTCATTAAAGAGAATCAAACCAGACGCTTTGTTCCAGTCATCTAAGGTTAGCCATGATTTGTCTTCCAAAAATGATATGATTAACAATTTTGATGAGATTTTTAATAATCTGAAACGCAAGAACCCACAAGATGAATTGTTCAATAAAATGACAAAACTAAACTTCAGTGATTTCCATTGCACCCAAATGAAATATGGTCAAGCTTATCTCGAGGGCAATCAATTACTCAATGCTCCTATTAAAGATGATGCAAAAAAGTATCAGCCATCACACCTTGAATTATTGACAAACAGAAAGGATGTCATCATAATTCCAAATGTTAAAAATGCTCGAGCTCTTGTTTCTGAACCCTCGAATGTTTTACATAATCACACCCCTGCTACTGTCACCAATAAATGCAAGTGGTTCAATCTTCATTTAGATCGCAGTACGATCTTGAAAATATTGCAATAATTAATTTGAGCTAAGTACATGATTTTTTTTTCTTATTATTAAATAATGCAAATTTACAAACTTTTATTTATTTTAAAAATAAGGACATTCATTTCCTCCACCTATCCCTAAGATTATTTTTTATTTATTTATGTGATATGATATATTATGTTTAATATATATATAATTTTTAAAGTAATTTTAATATGCATTATGTACGAATTCCTTTCATTTTTATACCCAATATTTTTTTATATACAAATTTTGTTAAAAGAAGCGTATAAAAATTAGAAATATTTATAATAAATTACCCTCATAATAAGATGATGTTTTAAATAGATCATGGTATAATTATTTGACTCATCTGGACAATTGTAACTAACTCTATTTTTATCAGTTAAGAGATAGAGTCACCCCTCCCCATCTGTTTGGGGGGGGGGATTTGATTATTTTCAATCAATATTTGATTGGTAGATGTTTGTCACAACTTTTAGTATTTTGTTATTCCAAGTGTCAGTTACCTAAGTTAGTGTATAGAGAGTGTTAACCAAAATTTTTATTTTCCTTATTGGGATAATTTGATAGAAACACTTTAAACTTTAAAATATCTTTTTTTTTTGTAATATAAGAAACTTTGAAACTGAACCGGTATTGTTATTTCTTTTTACAAAATGAAAACTCTGACTAAACTTGTTATTACCAAAACGAAATCAATATTTATCACAGTTCATTCATACCCCCTGGTAAAATCTAATCTCAAAATATTTTTATATGGTTCGACAACTTGTACAAAATTTATTTTATGGGTTGAAAACCTTGATCAATTCCTGTGATACATATAATCTTATTGCCGAATTTTCTGTCCATAATAACATTGTCAGGTTCCTGCAATGACATATAATAATACCTAGACTGACAATGCATTCATTAAAAGTGTAAATCAATTGAAAAACAGCTGGGGGACGCCATTTTGGTTACTCATCATATCATTTATTAAATATTTTAAACTAGAGGCTAATTTATTCCTATGTCCTGACACATACTTTATTGAAGAATTGCCTGAATCATCGAGATAATATTGTAGGGAGCAAAGTTATCAAATTTAAGAGTAGTTTTTAACACGAGAATAATTACCATATGGGTTACCAAAATGGTGGGTCCAGCTGATTTTCCTTCAACGACGCTTTCAACTGCATCGTCAGTCCTAGGTATTGTTATATGCCATCGGGTTCTCGTTGCTTAAAAATGTCGAATCCTACAACTTAGCTACGAACCGAGTGTGATCTCTTCCAAAGACTTTTATGCTTTTAATTCTAGGTCTGTCTATGGAAGGATTCTAGTAATACTGACCAAATTTTTTTAAAATGAATACATATTCTATATAGTCCTATATTGGATCTGTTTATTATAGACCTTACCCAATAATTTTTTTTGTTGGTCTGATTGGAATCTTATCTGAAATTATGAAAATGTGTTATATCTTTACCACCTTTTTTTCAAGATGGGGGTAGCCACCAACAAAATAGGCCCGCCCCAGTGCGGTGAGATAAATTCACTCTTTATGGGTCGGTAATTTGTACCTATTGGGGTTTTACAATTCATTGGGATTCGGAAGCTCCATTTTAAATCGGCTATTTGAGAGCGATTTTTAAATCCGAAAAATCTTATTTGACCGGAAATGCATTCCAAGATGTACAGAATACCCACATAAAAATTATCAGCATGGTCTGGACCGGATTTTTTTAAACATTTTTTCTGCCCGGCCCGGGTTTCATATTTTCAGACCCGACCCTGATTTTTTTTCCACCCGAATTTCTTCTAAAAATAATTTTTAGATCAGGGTGGCTAAATTTTTTTTCTACGATATCTTTTCACGGATCGTTTTTCGGCGAATATCAAATCGATATTTAGTAACTTTTCAGATGATCTTATTTCCCCAAGTGTCGTAAAAAGGAGTGAGTTTGTTTGAATCGCCACACCATTAATTAGACTGGTCGATGGCAATTCTCTTATTTCTGATTCCTTAATTGTAATTTAATATCTAGTCTAATATATAAATATCAGTATTTTGAGCTATCTCCCAGGCAACATATGTAATTGCCCGAATTTGGGGCAGGAAAAAAAGGGAGATAAAATGGATGCCTTGTTGCCTCAAAAAGTGTATTGTACTCATTTGGCTTTTAATTTAGTTGAATATCACTTAGAAATAATTATTTATTCGAATAAAATTTTACTAGAAATATTTTCTAAAGGATAGAAGAAAAAAAACTAAAATATGGTTAAGTGAATTGTTAATATATAATTTGCATATTTTTTACTTTGTAATTAATGACCTTTTTGTAAAAATTTTTTCTTTAAAATTTATATGACCTTTTAAATTATCCTAATTTTCGTAAATGTTAATTTAATTAAGGACGAATTTGAAAAATTAATATTAAATTGTATATATGTAAATAGTATTCAATATATATAGTTGTAAAAAATTTCGATATATTCAGTATTAGTAATAGTAATAAAAATAAAGTAAAATTAAAAGATTTCAAATATATTTCTTGGTTTTTCTTTACCTTCCGTGAAATTATCGCGGTGGCAGCGTACTTATTAATCATTACATTACCTATGGAAACAATTATAAAAAGATTTTAAAATATATTTTTTTGGTTTTTCTTTAATGTGACAGATAATTATTATGCTACAAATTATTTTAGATACTGGAACATGGTGATAGAAGAAAGGGGGAAAATGATGTTAATTCTAAAAACATGTAAGAGATAATTAAAATATAAAATTAAATATAAATATAATAAATTTTTAATAATATGAAAAAACCTATTTGGGACAATAAGAATAAAACAAAATCCATTGATGAATTAGAAAATTATTTAATATATCATGATAGTAAAGATGTTTTGAGTTTAACATTTAATTTACCAGATGACTTATATTTGCTTATGGACACAATGTTACCGATATATGGAGCTTCAAGTTATGAAGAAGCAATTATTAAAATATTTTTGTGATTATAAAAAGGTAAAAGAGATAAATGGAAAAACTAGATCATATAATATATGTTATCCTAATAAAAATTTTAAAAGTCAAAATAATATAAACTTGAATAAAATTGAATTATGTAAATTAATACCAAATGTTAATAAAGAAATAAATTCTTATAAATTAAAAGAAATAAATCATATGATAATAATTGATGAAATAATAGTGATTAAAAACAATAATGAAATAAAAATTGAAGTAAATAATAAAATAATAATTTTATAATTAATAAAAAATTTAAAAAAACTTTAGAAATAAAGAAAATTAAAACAAATATTAATTAAGGTGATTAAATATCATGATGTTGAAAAAGAGATTAAAAGTACGATATGGAGATCGTAAGTTTTAGATGGAAGGAGAAGGAGAATTTTTTTTATAAAGAACAAGTTGAAGAGAAATTATGATATAAAAAATTGTTTAAATTGATAAATAAAGGTGTAAAATTTATAAATAAAAAAAATTAAATAAAAAATAAAAAAATTATTATATAAAAAGTGACAATTCCAAATATTCTATTATTCTATATTCCAAATTATGATTCTTATTCTTATGAATGATTCTGATAAATTATTATTCCATTATCATTGCTATTATTCCAAAATTATTTTATTTGAGATATATTGATCATAATATATATTTACAAACATTGATAAAAATGATAATAAATAACGATATGAACAAGCTATGTGAGGATGATGTTCAATCAAATGATTAGACGATAAGGATAACAAGCTACGAACAAACCAATGAAAAAGATATGACTCAGGCAACGAACAAAATATCAAATGAAAATTCTACTACATACAAATGAAAAATTTTTAGAAGGGGGAGAAGTTAACAAGTTCAACAAAATTCGAAAATTTAAAGAAGCTCAAAATTCGAAAATTCAAAGTCAGGTTCAAGTTCAAAAGCGAGAATATAACCTGCGACATAGAAAATGATTGTTATAAATAAATAAAAAATTTTGTAAAAAAATATATATATTTTTGAAAGAGAAATGGGATGATCAATACGAAGAGCAAATCTACTAGCAATGTTCAACCAACGACGTTTCAACAATGATAACGATGTTTCATAAAAGATGTTTGATAATCGATTCAACAAACGATAATCAAATGGTCAAACAAACGATCTGAACAAGTGACTAATGGAGAATTTGAGAAATGAATGACTGGAAGAAACTGAGAAAAAAAAATAGACTTAAAAAAAGGGGGAAATGTTAATATATAATTTGCATATTTTTTACTTTGTAATTAATGACCTTTTTGTAAAAATCCTTTCTTTTAAATTTATTTAATGATCTTTTAAATTATCCTAATTTTTGTAAATGTTAATTTAATTAAGGACGAATTTGTTAAAAAAATTAATCTTAAATTGTATATATGTAAATAGTATTTAATATATATAGTTGTAAATATTAGTAATAATAATAAAAATAAAGTAAATTAAAAGATTTCAAATGTATTTCTTGGTTTTTCGTTACCTGCCTTCCGTGAAATTATCATGAATGAATATGATATATTGTTCTAAGATGCATAATATGAGCAAATGTAATAGTAAATTATAAAATTTTAATAGTTAAATAAACAAAAATTACTAGCAAATTAGCTAAATACCATTTCGCGTATCAAAAAATAAAGTTTAATAGCAAATACTCAAATTTTAGCACTATTTTAGGCGAAATTAGAACCTAAAATAAAGTTTAAAAAAATAAATAAAAAGGTTATTGATTGGTAGAAGGAAATTTAAATCTCGAACACCTTCAATAAAATGATCATATGGTTATCTGGCAAGTCGTTTCATGAGTTTGAGTTTGTGGCTTGCTAATATTTATATCGAAGACTTATTTTGAAAAACTGGTCAAAATTTACCTTCCCTCTTTGCCCAAGACTTTTGTACCCTATTTATTTAGAAGCTATCCCACCCCCACTCTTAAGGGATATTTTTCCTTTCCCCCCATTTTATATATACAATGGCCGCAAGACATGTTTTCTTTGATTGGTTGAATGGTACATCTATATAACATAAGGGGGGGGGGGTATATGTAGAATATTCCAGAGAAATCTTATTTATTAAAAATGTTCCTTATAATGTGACCAAGTAATCTGAGGGTGGGTCTTTCTATGAACTAATGAAGAGTTTTGTTTCTTTGCTTGTAGAAGTGCTGATTTACAATTTGGACATCTATTTAACATCTGGTCCGCCTAATTATCCTAAGTTTCTTAGAAATAGACAAGAAACTCA